TACTAACGATCCCAGTTTCCTGAAACGAGTGCCATGAGTACCAGTAAAACATACTTTAGCTCTCTATCGGCTGAGTGGCTTGTTCACGAATGTATTGATAACATCCCCACCCAAGAACTGACTGCCTGAAAATCGACAAGATTTCTTCTTTCATCACCCTAGAATCTGGTTTTGCGTCGCATCAGCACCCATTTTCCTTATCCTATCTTAAAGTGACCAATCAGGCCCAATGAAAATAATGGATTAGCTCATTTGTGCGGAGTGGCAAGCCAGTGATGTCTTTGGTTCACAAAGCCAAACGCCACGTTTAGTATCATACTCCAGCAAGCCGCACTTTCACCGTCTCTTCCGTCTATTCTTGTGGGCTTTTCGATACTGACTACAGAAAGGTGGGGCGACTTAGCTTTTGACTTTATAATATATCACATGAATGGCTCATCACGGGATCAGCTCCGCTCAAATCTACTGGATTACACATTAAAAGACTGCAGTCTACCCTGTTTGCGAATCAATTTGCTATTAACATCCATGCCACCAGCCCTCCTGACGGTGATTTGAATGCCATTAGGGGCTACTGGACATTGATGTTCTTCTATCGGTAGTATCTTTACCTACATAAATTCCATTCATTTCGGCTCATCGGTTTCTTTTCACTAATGTCACTCAGTTCTCCCTGAGCAGTGCTTCCTTGACCTGAATCATGGTTTCCGCAGAGGTTTGGTAGGGGTCAAATGAAATTTACTCGGTAAATGGTATCTCAGCTACGTCTTACATGGGATCCAGACAAACTAAGCTGACTGCAGCTTTATATCCGTACTTTTAAGCTTTTCAGAACGTCTGTCTTCTCTTGAGAACACGGTGAGGGAACCACTACACTCGAAATGTAAAAAACCGAGTACGGAATATTATCGAGGTAATTGTAGCGGCTTGAATCCAATAATCTTGGCCTGAACGCGGGAAATAACTAGGCGGTGCCAACTGACGTGAATCTGACTAGTTCCTGTGTTCTACTGTATGGCTTCCTAACTTCCGCGAGTGACGCACAGTCAGAGGTTGGATCAAAATATCAAAACACGGTTTGTAGCAATTCAATGGTAGATTCGTAACAAAATCTGTGGCACTATCAAAGCAACAATAAGTTATGTCAAATTACAAAATACCTCAACAGTGCCGTTGGGTAACTATACAGTCCAAAACGTTCTCGGGTACAAATACGTACTACACGGTAAAAACTGGTTAAAAAAATACAACTGTTAAATACCTGTCGGTCAATAGGAATATTCCCGGCAAAAGGGATCAAAACTCTGCCTACAGGAATCAAATCAACAAACAAAACGTTCCCAGTAGACAGTCAAAAGACAAACAGTCAAATCACTGCACAACCGTAAGTCGAACCAAAACAAAATGTCGGGCGCAGTAAAACAACATCACCTTGTCAACAGTCCGGCGTCACATAAAAGGAAAGTGAAACATTCGTAATAAGTCTCAAACATACGAAGGCAAATACCTAGTGTAAAGTCAAATAAGACAGTTAAACAAGCAAATAACATTACACCGGCTAGGGTCAAAGGTACACCATCCATAACGAGGGTAAAATGTTAAAATAAATGTCAATACAATCAAATAAGGGTGATCGGGAGGGATTTTCAGATCAATTTTCCGTTACAGTAATTAACATCGCTGTCACAAGCTGCTGGGCTTTTCTACATATTACGTATGTAAGCGTCATCCAGGAGTGGCATTGCCTTATTGAGTTGTGTGAAGGGACTCTCAGTCAAGACCGACTCGGGGAACCACATGACATGCGGAACATACGTATCCAGTGTGAATGTGGTTTACTACACCGTCTTTGAACTGTGGGAGTTAAACTAGAACAAACTTAGCGGTACTACTCATCGTATCCGCTGCTAGCTAAATCGAGCAAACATTCCGGTCATCTACACTGCCAGATGAACCGTTCGCAATTGTTTTGACCGCAATTAACAAAATGACTACCAAAAGGGAAAGTGACAAAGGCCAATATCAGCCGGATCAACAAAGTATGAAAAGGATAACAGAAGCGCCATAAAGTTTTCGGAGGTTTCCTACATAAAAACCCTAACTGATGTATAAGCACACCAATTTGAGCAAGTCAGCAAGCTTTGAGGCGGATAACATCACAAACCAAGAAAATTGTCAAGAGGTTTAAACTAGTACTCCTTTATCATAGTGTATAAGCTCCGAGACAAGCAAAGAAGGAAAAAACAGAGGAAACCCACACTTGCTCTGATTAATTTCCAGCCAAAGTGCACTAGGGAGACCAATGCGATTTACATGGTCAAAGTAAGAGAAGTCACCGTCTTTTTCAGGGTTTTCAATGACAGTGGTTCGCTTATTCTCGCTTGATTGCTTTTATTCAGCGGGCTTAAAAGTCCTTCTTGTTTTTTTGTACGTAGCTGGAGCTAGTAGGTGTCTACTGAAATGTTTGTTTCTGCATAAATTTTAGACTGACCATTAAAAGTTGCTACCGGGTGGCCAGTGAAATCGGAGAGCTTAACGTATTCATTACCCGTGCATCAACTTCACTGTGAAAGCATGGTTGCATGTGATTCCGGAAGCATAACGACAAGCCATGAGAGTAGGAATAAACACACCAGTTGTGGCTGGTGCTCTGGAAAGAACGCGGGAAAACCATGTAGGTATCGGAATAGAGTGACCGAGTGTCCTTTAGTAGATGGCCAATGAGTTCTGGTGCATGCTTTCCCTAGGCAGTTAGTACTTACATATGTGTTCGACATTCACTTGAAGTAACCAACCAAAAGGATTTAGCTACGACTCTTTGCAGGGCACTCCATATGCATAGGCTCTACGAGGAAAGAAATTGGTTTTGAAACCCACTTTATTCTGTGGCGGGATAACTCAACAGGGTTTGAATGGGACTGTTAGCCTTGGACCAATAATGTTGCTTTGTTGGTGTTTTAGGATTTGTCCTGCTGCGAACTTGACAGACGCAAAGACCAATCACTAATTATTCGGACTCGTTACATACCCACGAATACGAGACCAAGGAAGAACACGATACCGTAGTCGGATGGAATAGTATATTTGGATATTTGTGCCAAGATACCGATGAGTTCCAACTAACTGGCTAGAGAGTCGAATACGAGCAGTGCAACGTAACACGACAGCGTGCCAAATGGTGAGGATGCTTGGCCGGGTGCCTTCAGCTTAGCGAGTCCAGTAAAACTATCAAGGTCAGCATCAATGTTAAAGTCGTCAAACCCCAGGCTATTGATTTTGGGGAAGTGTGTGGCGCTACAGTGTGGTTCATTTAGAGTATCATCTTGTAAGCCATTAGTGACTTACTTCTTTTCAAATGACAACTCCAGGTGAACAGGCCGACTGGTCCCGTGTGTCATCTCCACGTTTTGCCAGCTGGTCCAGCAGATGGCTTTGTCTCTCTTTTCTCCACTTCATTAGCCTCGTTGCAGCGAAGAGGTTCACTGTGTTGAACATTTCTAGATATGATTAAATGAAGCTTTCGAAGACCTTAAAAAACAATTCGAAGTAAAGCTGCTGAGTTTTTGGAATTTACTTTAAATGAATATTCCCATCCAGACCATCGTGGACAGTGTAAAAGTCTGCGAAATTTAAGATGCAGCTGTCTTCAAATAATGCCCCCAGTTACTTCAATATTAGGACTTGCTACTTTTGAGATGGATGACATTGTAAAAAATTGAATTAGGGACTGCTTATGACAAAGGATGAAGAGAGTGAGAATACTTTAAATGCTGTCTGAATACGAACTGGTGATTAATCGTATTCTTCACAGTACGATTTTATGTAGTTCGTCACTTTTTTGTAGAGACACAAGTTCAGTTTCAAACGTCGTGGTCACGTTGTCTGCTTTTACTGCTGCTGCTGCCCGTGGTGGTGGTAAGATCTTTCAGGTAATTTGTTATGATGCAGATACGGCGTGTATCAAATATTGGAACGGTCTAATAGCCAAAGAATGCATCTAAACAGGAATAAGTCTTCGACGGCTTTACACAGTCTTAAAATACTTCAGCTTGGATATATTCCTGGCACTATGTATCATTCACATTAGGCCTCAGTTAGAGTACTATGTACTGGTATTCAGTCAGCCTTTCAAAATAAAACTGACACGACAGAAAGTGTTCTACTTGAGGCACTGGACCTAATCGCTTCCCTCATGAACGGTGTTAAAGTGTCTAAAACTGTTTATCTTGCGTTATTGTAGCGAAAAACGTCTGGATTGTACATTTCACATTGTAAGTAGGGGTACACATTCTGGTAAACGTAATCACTAGACTTTTTGGTAGCAATCATGTGAAAGGTCGTCGTCAACACGTTATCAAGCCTTCATCAGATTAACTCTCGAAGGAGTGCTGATTTTTATTAGGTATGATGAACTGCTAAACTAACGACTAGAATAAGCAAAAGCAGCTCCTTTTATTAAGTTGTTCAATGGGAAATTAGGTGTTTATAGAGATATTTATTACATTACTTGTCAGTTTAATTGACATAATATCCTTATCCCGACTCATGTTGGAAATGAGCATCAAAAACGCAATCCATAGATAGTAAAGGTGTTCTTTGTTCCGATAGAATGGTGGAAACTGTGGGGGGAAAATTATGAAACCATATTTGTATTCCATTTTTGCACCACCGAATATAGCGAAAAGAAAAGTGAATATCACAGTTCGTCGATCTGTTTTAGTATTTCCTTCTCCGCCGTCCACTATGACGTGACGGAATTGGTATTCACTGGAATTTCCGGCCGGCAACTCTCCAGCGTGGTTGCCTTTCAGTCGCTTCTTCCAGCTAAGTAATGACATGATTAAAAGTGCTCAATTCCGCACATGTAGTTATCCGTAAAAGGGTGTTCATGTGACTGGTTGACAAACGTAGAGTACAGGGTGACGAAGTGCGAAACATTCGAAAATCCATCAATTTCAGGTAGCTAGAAATGATGGGAACTTGTTTTTCCGGATACTTACTTTTGCTATTTTATCAAGCATCAATGAAGTCAGCTCTCATTAAACTTCTACAACATGCAACATGTCTTTATAGTCTCATCTTAGTACCCGAGATGTGTTACTTTATTTCTGCTGAGAGTGAGATTTCCAAAAATAAGAGTTCAATAAAATTCAATTTAGAGACTTGGTGCGTTACGAAGGCATTTCCAACAAACTACAGACATTCATCAACAACTTCCTACTCTGGCTCGTTACTGAAGGTCAGATGGATTGCCAGAAAGAATAAGCAACAAGGAACTCTGGCCAAGTAACGAACCAACCAAGAACCTATAGCTCAACAAATATGCAGAAGAAAGTGGAGATGGATTGGGCATGCACTGAGAAGGCCACATGGGGACATCACGTGCCAGGCCAGGTCTTCGAGTGGAACCCAGATGGGAAGCGACGAGTTGGGCGTCCAAGGCGAGGGTAACATGGAGGAGATCGTGCGAGGAGGAAATGAGAGCTTCTGGGCTGTCGTGGTGACAGGTTCAAAAGATTTCAGAGAACAGAGTGGAATGGAGACGTTATACTGAAGCCGTATGTTTCATTAGGAACCCAAGGGATAAACAATTTAATATAAAATAAATGAAGAACGTTTCCGAGATCACGACTAGATTACTGAAGCCTTTCGGAATCGCTGCATCTTACAAGCCCACAAAATCTCTTCACTCCTTGTTTTGCAGGTCAAAAGGCACAGTAGCAAAGGAAGATAGATCGCACATTATTTACAAAATAGGCTGCAGTAACTGCAAGAAACACTACATCGGACAGAGTGGTCGCTCTCTTCGTATCCGTCTACGTGAACATCAACTAGCGGTGAAGTGTCGCAAACGTCTTTGTTCATATGAATGCGTACAAACAACTGTGGAGATAAATTTGATTGGGAAAATGCGAAAATCCTGGATGATTGGGGAAATGCAGAGAATGCCAGAGGAGTTTTAGAAGCTTGGTATTCAGGTCATCCAGCAATAGGCTGACATGTTGACATTCACCAAATCGATCTACCGATAAGAAACAACAAGAAGGTCAAATTTCAGCTTATCAGGATAGCAAATCAAAATAAACATGGAGAGAGTGACAAGATCTTGACAGAAGAAAATGAATCTTACTCAGGGCCATCAAGACAAGCTATTAAATTAATTGTGGAGAAGACCTTATCGCTCACTTCTTTTTGAAGTTTGTGCTGATGATGTTGTGTATAGGATGATAGACAAAGCTACGTGATGAAACCACCCAACTCAGAAAACACAGCACAGTCACAGTGAGAAGGTTCCTTGATAAACAACACACATCGAAGAGTTCAAGATTATCTTCGATTTCCAGCGGTAAATTGTTTACAAGCAACTTACACCACGGCAACGCCAAAATGTAATGGATGATTATATCGTAGTTATTAATAACGGATTATCAGGAATCGAACAGTCCCACCTTAATGTGGATTCTATGTACAAAACTCCATTACCATCGGATAATAGTCTTTCAAACGTTTATTTGTTTGCAGCGCAACAAATAATTCTAATGGCCTACATCTATATTGCTGTGTAAGGTAACACGACGAGTGGGAAATGTATGAACTTAGATATTCATGTGCATTATTGTTATCTGATATCGATCAATTGAGTTTTGGTTGATATAAATGTAAACTTGGGCACTGTGGTAGAATGTAATTCCATATTAGATTTGTTTATTTGATATATAATGCACAATAATACAGTATTATTCACTTGATCAAGTAAATAATACTGTATCACTGTGCGCTATATATCAAATAAACCAATCTTATATGGGTTTTGGTTGGCCAATGATACTACAAGCTTGTGAAGTGATGTTAAGATAGACGTTATCTGATGGAAAGTGGAACTGTGTTGATAGGTCAAGCGTCTCGGTCACCTGAAACTCAAATATTGAATACTGCTCGACTTTGATGCCACGCTAGTGTTAAAAAAAGGAAAGGTGAATGGAAACGACCGAAGCTCATACACAATCAGTATGTATTGGAAAGTGATATTTTCCTGTTGTTTTCATGACTTGCAAACTTTTGATATCATGATAAACTTTGATGTCCTCCTCTCAGTGTCATTGAAGATAGCCGAAGTATTGGAGATTTCTTTACCATTTTCAGTTTGATGATTCCTGTAGAATAGCTTCTTTCATGTTAAATTCTTAATTTGAGAATAGAATATTTATTTATTTATAAATAGACAGAAGTCAAGAATTCGTAGTCAACACAATTGTTTATATGTTGTTAGTGCAATAAATAGAAAAAAAACAATGAACACTTGTCTGATACAGTAACTGGAATAGTCATTCACCCCAAAATCGCTATCTATCAGTTTCATTGACTGGAAGAACTAAGATTATGTCATGATGAGGGGAAAGATGAGATATCTCTAAATAATGATGTCAGAGATCCAGTGTGATCGTATGATGCAAACGACATTTCAGTTGAATAATTCCTTATTCATTTCCCTATCACTAATCTTGGTGCATTTTCTCTTGATGTGACTATGTGAAGTATTTGACATTGGTTTTATCTAACAAGCTAAGTGCTGTGGTAAACGTTTGTTGAGTATGTCTAACACACAACCCCTTAACATACTTGATCTAAGAAAAGTGTTGCAATGTAGAGACTGGAATATATTTGACAGCGATGTTTTGAACGAAATTGTTGGTGGTGTGACATGCTATCTCAAGTTTTTCCTAGATATATGTTGGCCCAGTGAAAAGCTTGTCCTACGCTTTTATCGTACATCTTTTCCCCAGCTTGACAGACTACGAAGAGAAAAAGAAAGACTATATTAAGTAACTGATCATGCTGGTGTCATCGATTGAAAGTTTTAATTGGGTTGAAAATTAAACGTCTGACTCTACTATATAACCAGAAACTTTTGTCATGCGAAGGCTCTTCCAGCATGTGTAAACTTTTTAAAGACCTCACTAACAGTAAACACCTTAGTAAAGAAGAACGTGTTGACGTCTGTGCCTCGAACAAATCGTTTTTACGCCAGTTCACCTGTCCCATCCCACTTTGTCTACACATTTGCAATGACGAATGTTGTCCAGAGTTCATAGCGGAAGATGTTTTCATATGTCTCAAATCCGTGCTATTGCAGTTACCTCTCCGTTTTTGAAATAATGGAGAAGCTGATAACACTTGTGCTTGGACTCTCACTGAAGGCTTTCGGAGACCTTAATCGATTTGCATATAAAAGCAGAAGAAGCACTCTGAATCACACCACTGTCTCATATAATAACATTATCTGTGATCTTGATAGAAATGGCAAGTATGTCAGGTGCGTCTTTTTATACTATACTTAGACATACGATTCTGTCCCAAGACCTCTTTTGCTGACCAAGCTACACGAGACTAATACTGAGTCTCGGATAATCAGCTGGCTGCATTCCTATTTCTTTGAAAGAAAACAACATAATGTTCACAGAGGGAAGCGTTTCACCTTATTCCTTAATGTGACTGGTGTTTTCCAAGGAGCCGTCCATTCCCCCTGTCTTTTCTCTTTCTTTCTGCATGACTCAGCAACTTCAGCTATTATCAGTTTTATGAAATATGCTGATGAACCAACCGTTTCCATACGCATCTCCTCTTCAACAGATTGTTCACAACTAAACGATTTCTTATCAACTGTCAGACGATGGGCCTCCCTTAATGGTCTTACACTTAATTCTTCAAAATGTCTCACTATAAACTTTAGTTTTAGATGTGAACATAACCTATGTAAACTGACTAGTTCTCATGATTCTTATTCTATTCATAGTTGTGCATCAGAGAATGTTACAAGTATGATTTATCTCGGTGTGTTTTCTCACGGACCTTTCACGGTCCTCCCACATCTTAATAATTTACGAAAGAATTTTCCACCTAACTTCCTATATTAGGAAGCTGAGAATGTCTGGTATAACTCAGCCTCTCATCTTGTGCATCTTGCTTGTTCTCCTCTATTCTTCTCCCTCATTCTTTCCTGGTCATTGAAAAAACACTATGTTATATTGTGTAGAACTTTGAAGATTGACAGCTAAACTAGTGGTGTACCTCTAAGCCTCCTAGTTAAAACAGTTGTGGACGAACATACTAACTCATGTTAACATCTGGTAGGAGTTATTTTATCTGACGACCAGCATCTCCTTCACTCATAGCTGTCTGTGTGTCGGTCATCTGGAAAGATAATAAGCAAGTACATAAGACTGTTTGCACTTACTACAAAATATAAATGCTCTACAATACCGTATTCAGCTCGCCTGCTGTGTGATGGAGAAAGGATTAGAAATGAACTAACTAATCAACTTCTGTTTTTCAAAGCAAACTAATTGATGAGTGAGTACATAGTGTGTTAATAGTTATGTATTTTGGACCTTATTACTAATGTGATTATCTATCTAAATTATCTGTGCATTTTCAAGAGAGTTGTAGACAGAGTGAATATTCTTATCTTTTTGATGCAATTTATACTTATTTCATTTTGTTATGTATACATGTACACTCTCTCAGTCCAATGATGCTATATGACATGCTGAAAATTCTGTAGAGTATTTCCGAAAGAGTTTTCAGAATAAAGCCATTATTATTATTGTTGTTTTAATAATATTGATTACTATTAACTTATCAGTATTCTATCTCGAAGAAAGACGCTTACATCTTGTTATCGTATCAAACAGCATGACCTCAAGATCTCAGTTATTATAAAGGCATGCTATTCAGCCAGTTCAATATCATAGGGAATCAAAACCTATGCTTTGAAATAAACCTCATTACTAAATGTGGTTACGTCATATAATGGTATGGAGTGTGTGCCAGTTTACATGTGTGTGCGCTGACTAATACACTGAGAGCAGTAATCAAACTATGAAATCGAGGTGATGGAGAATATCCCTGAATAGCTAGAAAAGCAATTACATTCAAATAATCCGATAAATATAGGTAGTAGACGGGCGTCTACCTTTATGGGTAAACGTTATAGAAACAGATTACAGGATTTACCCCAAAA